CTCTAGGGGAAATGTCCAGTTTAGCACTTCAAAAGGAGATCAGAGAGGGGTGATTTTTAAAACCAAACAGTGACATAAAGCAAAAAGCACAGATCTTTAAGGTGTGTGTGTGTGTGTGTGTGTGTGTGTGTGTCCGTCCGTCTGTCTGCCTATGTGCGGGTATGTGCTTGTGACTGAAGATGTCCATGGAGGTCAGAGGAGGGCATCAAATCCCCCCCTGGAACTGGACTTACAGGCAGTTGTCAGCCACCTGATGTGGATACTACAAAAGCAGTACCCACTCTTAACCATCTCTCCAGTCCCCAAAGCACAGATCTTTACATGTACAGTTGTGTGTGTGTGCATGTTTGTGTGTACTTGGGTGCATGCTGTGGGGGGGGGCACATGCATGCATGTTTGGAGGCCAGAGGACAACCTCAGGCATTATCTCTCCGGAGCTGCCCACATTTTTCCCTTTGGCAGAACTGGGGAGCGAAACTGGGGCCTCCCAGATGCTAGGCAAATGCCCTACTACTGAGCTATAGCCTCAGTCCTCCTTGTCTTTTGAGACAGGGACTGTTACGGGCCTGAAGTTTGCTGATTAGTCTAGACGAGCTGCCCAGCAAGCCCCAGGGGTTCACCTGTGTCTGCCTCCCCAGCACTTGGAGTACAAGCATGTAAAATAAAACTGTGTTTTATTTTTAATTTTTGCAAGTGTCTGTATAATGTAGGTGTGTGCATGTTTGTGTATAAATGGTCATGCACGTACCAGCGTGCATGTGGAGGAGAGAGGCAGTCTCAGGTAACCTTACCTTCCACCTTGTTTGAAACAGGGTCTCTTATTAGCCACTGCTTATGGTGGGATAGCTGGCCTATGAGTTTCTGGGGATTTTCCTGTTGCTGCCTCCCCCATCTCACTGAAGGAACATGGGAACATGTTATAGCATCTGGCTTTACATGGGTTCTAGGGATCCAAACTCTGGACCACACACTTGCATGGAAAGTTCTTTATCCATGGCACCTCCCCAGTCTCACAAGAGTCCATTGTGGTGGGGAGGCATGGCAGCAGTCTCTACCAGGGCAGAAAGCTGAGTGCTCACATCTTCAAGCATGCACAGGAAGCAGAGAGGACAAGCTGGAAGTGGGGCAAGGCAGTGAACTCTCAAACACCATTCCCAATGACAAGCTTCCTCCAGCTAAGCCACACCTCCTAAAGGTTCCATGGCCCTACCCAAATAGTTCCAACAACTGACCAAGTGTTCAAATACTTGGGTTTGGTGTTGGGGGGCACTTCTCATTCAAACCACTTTTTAACATGGGCTCTGGGAATTGAACTCAGTTCCTTAGCACTTTAGCAATTGATCCATTTCCCCATCTCCCTATACCCATGACCCCTCTTTTTTTTGAGATAGAGTCTCAGGCAGCCTGGGCTGACCTCAAACTTACTGTGTAGTTGAAGATGATCTTGAACTCCTGATCATCATGCCTCTACCTGCCAAGCACTGTGATTACAGGTATGTACCGCATGCCTGTTTCTAATGTACAATTTGATGAATTCAGATAAGCATATTCATCTACATGGCCATCCCTCCACAGAAGGTTCCCTTGTGCCCCATTTAGGTGACTATTATAGGTAACCACTATTGACTTTTATCACTCTAGATTAACTTATTCTGTACTTCTGTGTCATATAAATGGAACTATACATTAATGATGTATTCTGTTGTATCTATCTTCTTTTGCTTAATAGAGAGGTGTTTTGGTTTGTTTTTTGTCTCTGAGATAGGGTCTCCCTGTAGCCCCATCTTGATCTGGTCTAGAACTTGCTATGTAGACCAGGCTGGCCTTAATTTCACAGACTGCTTCTGCCTCCTGAGTGCTGGAATTAAAAGTTTTAACAGAATGTTTTATAGACTCATTCATCAATGGGGCTGGAGAGATGGCTCATTTATGGGGCTGGAGAGATGGCTCAGCAGTTAAGGGCACTGATTGCTCTTGCAGAGGATGACCCAGGTTCAAGTCCCAACACTTAGTTAGGATGGCTAATAACCATCCTAACTACAGTTCCAGAGGAATTCGACACCCTTTTCTGACCTCTCCTGGCATTGCATGACATGGATAAAAACATTCATACACATAAAATAAAAAAATATTAAAGATAAAATTGTTTGTATTAAAAGTTCATTTCTTGAACCACTAAGTTGTATTCCATTTCCTGACATACAGTATTTTTTAAAATCTATTTTTCTCTGAGCATTTGGGCTGTTTCCAGTTTTACGTTTTTTAGAAATAAAGCTACCAGAACAATTGTGAGGAACTTATCTTTCTGTAAATAAGCAAAGAATGAAATTGCTGGGTTATAAGATAGTATACATCTAATTTAGTAAGAAACTGCTTAACAGTTTTTCAAACTATTATGCCATTTACAACAATGTATTAGAGTTCTAGCTGCTCTGCACCTTATCAACATCTGGGATTGCCAATCTTATTAACTTGAGCCATTTTAGTGATATGGAAGTACTCTGCAATTGTGGTTTCCATCATGTGGTTTCCACATGTTTCTATTATATATCTTTTGTCAGAATCTGTTCAGGTCCTCTGACCATTTACAAAATTATGTTGCTTTGGGGGTAGCTGGTTCAGCACTAGCTGCTCTTGGAGAAGACCTGGGATCTGTTCCCAGCATCCACATGGTGGCTAATGACTTTTTCTGGTTACTGACAAGATGACCTGTACAAATGGGGTGATGCTGATGTGTGTGTGTGTGTGTGTGTGTGTGTGTGTGTGTGTGTGTGTGTGTAGGCAGGTTGGGAAGGGAAACTCTACAAAGGGGAATCTACAACAATCTTTTGAAATTTGCTGCATGCTTCACAATTCCACAGTCAGAGAAGTCTTCATTATGCTTGGCTGAAATATTTCCTTGTGCAATTTAACATAATCTCATGCTATCCTCAGTGAAATCAGAAGGACTAAAGGCACCCTTAGGTCAAAGTCTTCATTCTCAGAGTTCTACATTTTTAGTATTTTAATATAAACTTCCCTTTCTAAACAATGGTTAAAAGCACTGACTACTCTTGCAGAGGACCCAGGTATAGTTCCCAGCACAAACATGGCAGCTAACAACGATCTGTAACTCCAGTTCCAGGGGATCCAATGCCCTCTTCTGGCCTCTACAGGCATTGCATGCAGGAAAGCACATACACGCAGGAAAAACACTCATACACATAAAATAAAAATGAATAAAAATTAAAAAAATTAATTTTGTGTTGCACATGTGTTCTGGTGTGTGCAGACAAGCATGTATATCATGTATGTATATAGGTCAGAGGACAACCTTGAGGATTATTCCTCAGGGTGCTACCCACCTTTTTTTTTTTTTTTTTGGTCTTTTTGAGATAGGGTCTCCTTATAGCCCCAGCTATCCTGGAACTCACAATGTAGACCAGGCTGGCCTTGAACTCACAGAGATCCGCCTGCCTCTGCCTCCTGAGTGCTGGGATTAAAGGTGTACACCACCACACCTGGCACCTTTTTTTTTAAAAAAAATAAAATAAACAAACAAACAGGGGTTTTCAATGGCCTGGAACTTGCCAAGTAGACTAGGCTGGCAGGCCAATGAACCCCAGGGATCTGCCTGTGTCTGCCTTCCTAGAACTGGAATTTCAAACCTGTACTACCAGCTCCATTTTTTTTGTTGTTGCTGTTGTTGTTGTTGGTGTTTTAATTGAGGATCAAACTCAGGTTCTGTCAAGCATGTTACTGACAGAGCCATCTCCTCAGCCTAGAACACATCTCATTTATGGGTGCATGTTCTTTATGTGGACAGATCTAGGAAGTTTTTAAATAGCTTACTCACAGGTTGTGAGGTAATGCTGATACAATCTATAAAATCTCTCCTGTAATTTCTGCTGCTGCTGTATGACCACTGTGGGGTCTTCTATTTAGGCTACATACGTGTTAGAATTCTGCATTCTTATAGGTATCATCCTTTTCACAAGAGGATGAAAACTTTAACCCCTGTTTACTGACTTAAACATTTTAAACCTGGGGGCTGGAGAGATGGCTCAGCAGTTAAGAGCACTGGCTGCTCTTGCAGAGGACCCAGATTCTATTCCCAGCACCCACATGGAGGCTAACAACCCCTGCAACTCCAGTTCCAAGGGACTGATGCCCTCTTCTGACCTCCGTGGACACCACATGGCATGGATGCACTTACAGACATGTAGACAAAACAGTCATACACATAAAATAAAAACAATAAATATAAGAAAAATTTAAACCCTCTTTATCATGAAATCTTTTTTTTTGTTTGTTTGTTTGGCTTTTTGCAATAGGGTCTCCCTGTAGCCCCAACTGACCTGAAACTTGCTATGTAGACCAGGCTGGCCTCGATCTGACAGAGATCTGCCTGCCTTGGCCTCCTGAGTGCTGGAATTAAAGGTGTGCATCACCATACCTGGCTTATTTTGCAATCATCTTAAACTGACAGAAAGGTGTGAGAATATTACAAACAACTATCATGCTTTTCATTTGGATTCCTAATTGCTAGCATTTTACTACATTTGCCATATCTCTCCACAATCTCTTTGTGCCCTCCTTCCTGGCTATAGGTACATATGCAGGTGTTTATCTTTCATATCTCTATCTATATGTGTATCTCAACCTGTATTTCCTGATCTCTGAATTGAGGCTATGTCCTACTTGGCAGGTACACTTGCCCGTGTTCTTCTCGGTATGTGGTATTAACAAGCAATTTTGATTTGTTTTGCTACTGATGGTGTTAGCATTAGTCACCTGGTTTAGATGATGTCTGACAGACTTTCTCAATGTACTAGCTAAAACCACTTTGTGATAATTAATGGAAATGCATTTTTGTGTGTATGAAGAGATACTTTCAGACTGTGCAAATATACTACTCCTTAACAAATTTGTTTACTGTGTTTTCTTTGTTCACTGATTATATAATTCTATCGCCCTTTGTGTATATATATATGTATATATATATATATATTTTTTTTTTTTCCACTCAGACTGCATTCTCTCCCTCCACTCTCCTGAAAGAGAAAACGACCATTAACGGTAAGTGGCAGTTGCAGCAAAACTACCAAGAGCCAGTCTTATGTTCAGGAGAGAATGCTATGTCTCTTCCTCCTGGTTTCTGGTACTGTACACAGTCAGAGAAACTTCTCTAGTAATGAACTATAGAAATGATTCCTAAAAGTATAGTCTTCCTATGTATATCTATTAGCTGCATTCTACTATAGGATAGTGCTTGCCAGTGGGAGTCCCTGTCATTCTGATACATCCCTATCATGCATGGAACATTTTCTCTCTGGTATAAGATGTTTGGGATTATTTTGCACCTTGCCACACTTGGACATAAATGCAGCAATTTTTCCAAGGAGTCCTGGTTCTTTTTGGTGGAAAAAAGTATCTAGAAGCCAACCTCTGTGTATTGAGTGAGTCTCTGTCACTGTCTATGAATATTCCTAGATACCTTGAGCAGGCAAAGTTATTCTGCAAGTACATGTACATATGTAGAATATCACACACATACCATACCCAGGGAATAATCTAAATCCATCTGTTAAAAAAAGCCACATTGGGGCTGGAGAGATGGTTCAGTGGTTAAGAGCACTGACTGCTTTTGCAGAGGACTGGGGTTCGATTCCCAGCACCCACATGGTGGCTAACAACCACCCTAACTCCAGTTCCAGGGGATCCAACGCCCTCTTCTGACCTCAGAGGGTACTGCATGACACAGGTGCATTTATGCAGGCACCCCACATGTTCAGGAGAGAATGCTATGTCTCTTCCTCCTGGTTTCTGGTACTGTACACAGTCAGAGAAACTTCTCTAGTAATGAACTATAGAAATGATTCCTAAATGTATAGTCTTCCTATGTATATCTATTAGCTGCATTCTACTATAGGATAGTGCTAAAAATACTAAAATACTAAAAACCCCACATGTTCATATCAGTATCTCTTTCAGGTTTGTCTATATCCTTTCTATATTGTTTCTCTCTTCTTCTATGACCAACCTGGTTTAAACTATTCCCAATATATTTACTCATTTGCTAAATCTCCTGAAGACTCATAATAGTTTGACCAACATTTAGATCATATGACTGCATTTAAAAAGGAGTATCTATGAAAGCTAACCATCAACACTCTTACTCAACTATGAACCCTGTGAGCTACAATAACAACTGGCCTGATAAGATATGCCCACTGGTGCAATAGTGGCATGAATGCTATGGAAGTAATCAAACAATTTATGATTGTATTTAAAGTCTGTTCAACAAGATGGAACTCATAATTTACACTGTAACTAGGCCAAACCCCCAAGGCTGGCAAGGTATAAGCCCTAAGGGAGAACACAGTACTATTATTCTGCTAAACAGACATAGTAATAAACTGTCCCCTAAATTCTTTTCTTTATACCCATATATTAGTGCATCTCTCAACCCTCATCAGACAGAGCAGCTTTTCTTTGCAGTAGATGACAGTCAATACAGAGACCCACAACTGGTCAACACGCAAAGAATAAGAGACTGCACAATGCTCAGCCCTAAATTGGGACATCTATAATACAACCCCTACACATAAGGCTCAAGGCACATTAAAGAGGGTCAGAAAGACTGAAAAAGCATGAGGACAAGAATGACTTCTGCAAGATAAGTGTCTTCTGTACAGAACAGGGATGCACCCAGGACCTCTCACCAGTATGATTGCCTGTCAGATACCTCCAAAGACCACACCAATCGACATGCCAACATGGATGAAGGAAAGTTTCACAAGGCCCCACCCGTAAATGAAGATCTATATGCAGTCAGCTGAGGGAGGGAGGGCAAGTTTTTTTATAGGACAAGATCCCAATCCTAAGTGGTCAGCCAGCCCTAGTACCAAAAATAATCATAGAAGACTTGAATTTGAGAGGGGTGAGAGGAAATATGGAAGGAGTTGGATGGGAGAGAGGAAGGGGTGGAAATAATGCAAATACAGTGTACTCATGTATGAAATCCTCAAATAAATTAAAAAAAATTTAATTTGCTTCTATCCATCACTTGAAAACCAAAATATTTAAAATGCATATAATTATCACTAGGTAGCCTAAATCATATCAAGTCAGACCATCTGTGTCTAGCTAGTGTGTATAGTCACAACACATAAAATTTCTTCAAACTACGATATTTTGACCCAAGAACAATATTATGCTCCAAGCTGATTACAACGTGCACTTTGCAATTATATGAGTTGGCGGCAAGTTGAAAAGTTGGAGTTTATTGTTGCAGGGAAATCATGTTATTCATCCCAGCAGTACACAAGTAAATGAGCCACTGGAGACATATAAATATTTCTTCACCTCATTGTAAGGTTAAATATAATAACTTGCAGCCACAAGAAAGATTACTTATATGAGTGTGGTCTTTCTGTCTCTGCACCTGTGGGTAACTGGTTTCCTACCATGTGATATCTTTTGCAATCTATGGCATTGATATATAGCATATGTTCAGTATGCCTTTTAAAAACATGCATAGGGCTGGTGGTGGTGGCACACGCCTTTAATCCCAGCACTTGGAAGGCAGAGGCAGGTGGATCTTTGTGAGTTCAAGGCCAGCCTGGTCTACATAGTGAGTTCCAGGACAGCTGGGGCTACAAGGAGACCCTTGTCTCAAAAAAAGATACCCCCCCCCAAAACCATGCACAATATTTATTTTTACCTCCCTGAACACTCTAGGACTCAATGCCCTATACTTTATGATAATAACTAAGTCTGAAAATTTAAAGTACACAACCGCTTGCATTTATGTTCAAGGGAAAAGTGATTTTTTAAAAACAGCTTTAGCTACAAATTTCTCATAATTCTATGAATTTTCTAATACTTGACATATGAACTACTAACTTAATCTTGTGAAAAGCTATCAGTTGTATGTTAGTTGATGTTGATGCTAGATCCACGGACACACTAATAAGCCAAGGCAAAAGGGCTTTCCAATGAGGGCATCTCATATACGAGAAGTTAGAATTGCAATGTGGAAAACCCCAAACTGGAAATGGAATTATGAGGTATGATTCTGAAAGATGTCGGAAATGGAATTATGAGGTATGATTCTGAAAGATGTCAGAGAGTGGTACCTTAATGCCAAGTGACTGGTGGGCCTGGACCCAGTAAATAACAACAGAGACACAGTCTGAGTACTATAGTATCATACATTTCAAATTTGTATCACGAATAAAAAATACTTCATGTTGCTTATGGACACATAAATGTATATTAAAAAGGTAAAAAAAATGAGGACTATGAAAATGCATACCAATGTAGGACAGTGGTTTCCTAATGGAAAAATAAAAATGCAATTGAGAAGGACTATGAAAAAGGCTTTAATATCAGAGACAGGAAAAATTAAAGTGTTTTTCTAGTCTTTTTTTTTTTTTTCCTTCTTTTTGGGACAGGGTCTTCCTATAGCCCCAACTGGCCTAGAACTCACTATGTAGACCAGGCTGGCCTTGAACTCACCCAGATCCACCTGCCTCTGCCTCCTGAGTGCTGGGATCAAAGGCATACACCACCACACCCAGCTTTATTCTTTTTTAAAAGATTTTTATTTTATGTGTATGAATGTATTGCCTGCATGTGTGTAAGTGCACTCCTGCCATGCAATGCCTGCAGTGGTCAGAAGAGGGCATCAGATCCCCTGGAACTGGAGTTACAGATGGTTGTTAGCCACCATGTGGGTGCTGGGATTTGAATCTGGGTCCTCTGCAAGAGCAGCCAGTACTCTTAACCACTGAACCATCTCTCCAGCCCATTAAAAAAAAAATCTTAACACCAGGTTCTTTAACACACGGCATCAAATCCCACAGCAAAAATGGCACAGTCCTGGGGCTGCAGAGATGGCTCAGCAGTTAAGAGCACTGACTGCTCTTGCAGAGGACCTGGGTTTGATACCCAGCACCCACACGGTGGCTATGAACCGTCCTTAACTCCAGTTCCAGGGGACTCTGAAGCCCTCTTCTGACCTCCTTGGTGTTGCATGACACGGGTGTACTCATATACACACAGGCAATACACTCAGACACACAAAATAAAAATAATAAAAATATTTTTTAAAAATGGCACAGTCCCACAAGACTATCTTGTTTCCCTATTCAGATACCAGTGACAAGCTCCAGGTTGTAAGCTGTGTTTCTAACCATACCATGATCATCCCTTCCTCAGGTTAGGTTACTTTGGTAGAATGGCCCACAGAACTCAGATAAACACTTACGATTACTGGTTTATTATAAAGGATAATGAAAATGATGTCAACCAACACCAGACTAAGATACATAAGGCAAGGTAGATGGGAAGAAATACACTGCCTTCTAGGCATTGCCATGTGCTCAGCTATCTGAAAGCTCTTGGGATTTGCCCTTCTGGGTTTTCAAGGAGACTTCATAATAGGTATGACTGCTTACATCGATGGTCACAGATGATCAATTCAACCTTCAGTCCTTGTCTGCTTATGAGATTGGGAATGGGGTGCCAATCTCAAGGCAGTCTGCCAGCCTATCCCCCAGTTAACTCATTAGCATGCAGAAGACATTCATTACTCTACAGATTATACAAGTGTTAGGACCTGTGTGTGAGGAATGAGGGGCAGAAACAGTATATATTTCTTATGGTATCATATATCACACTGTATATACATTGAGAAATTTGAAGGAGATGTGACAAAATAATATCAATTAATTCTAGGTAGAAAGGTAATACTGTATCAACCTTTATACTTTTGAGAATGCTTAAAATATTTCATCAAAAATAATATGATGTGGGCCTGGGGAGATGACTTAAAACTCCCAAGAGACTAAAATTTGGAGGTAGACTCAATCATCATGTTTTCTAAATGGACTATTATGGAATTCTGTCACAGTAACAAGACTCTACTTCCTAACTTTTTCCAAGGCTCTGTCTCGAATCTATTCATAACTAATTTTTTTTTTTAAAAAAGATAGGGTCTCCCTATAGCCCCATCAGGCCTTGATATGACAGAGATCTGCCTGCTTATGCCTTCTAAGTGCTAGGATTAAAGGTGTGTACCACCATGCCCGGATTTTTGTGTATTTGTTTGTTTGAATGAGGGTCTTACTATGTAGCCCTGGCTGGCCTGAAACTTACCATGTAGAACAGGCTGGCCTCAAACTCACAGAGATCTACCTGCTTAAGCAAGACCTACCTGCTCCTGGGTCATCTTCTGCAGCTCATTCTCCCAAGCTGCCTGGTCATCGTCTGCATTATAAGAAGCTGGTGGAGTAAGTCCACGAAGGATTAAGGGGTCTCGGTCATGGCAGAGGGCTGTCAGATGTCCAATGTACAACTTTAACTTGCTTCTATTTTGGTCAAGTTCTAAGAGGGGCTGGATGATCTGAGGTGAAAAAAATGAGGAAAGTCAAGGTCAATCTGAAACGAGAAGGTCAAATATTCTTTGTGCTTCCCAAACCACAACAAAACCCTTCTAAGCACTACTGCAATCTTTGGAATTAAAAATTATAACCACACAGCATTATTTACATGGTCATGGTTCTGAGAAGTGGGGAGGAACTATGGCTAAGCATGTCAACATCAGACTGAGAATTCTGTACTGAGGCAGGAGACTGACACAGGACCAGCTTGTGTGTGTGTCTGTTTTAAATGAAATGTTTTATTTATTTTGTGAGTAGGTGTGCTTTCCATGGCACATATGGAGGCCAGAGGACAAATTTTGGGAGTCGGTTCTCTCCTACTATGTGGGTCTCAGGGATTGAACTCAGGTCTTCAGGCTTGGTGGCAAGTGCCTTTAGTGCTCAGACACCTTTCTAGTCCAGAGGATCCTGTTTTATTAGAGATGCTGTTCCAGATACTGAAAGACTCCAGTGACCTTACAAGTGCTCTTTGCACTTCTTTATGGGCAGATTATAAGAGACTGCCAGTGAAAATTGCTCATATGAAAGCCGGGACAACATTCTTCACAAGGTCCTCTACCTCCCAGAATGGAAAAAAAATTCTGTCTCTGGAGAAGGTGTGTGTTGTTCTTGGCCAAGACATGTGATGAGAGACCTTATTACTAAATCTGTCTCATCCTGGCTCAGCTCCCCTCATTCATCTCAGGCCTCTGATATTCTTCCTCTTCAAACAGTGACTGATAGATCTTTACATAACACCAAGTACCTGACCCACAGCCAAGGTCTGAAATTCTCTCATTGTAATGCTGGTTCTGTCTTTTTCTTAAAAGAGACCTGCTCTAATTTTCTTCTTTCCTATCCTGTTCCCTTTATCACAGATGAATAGATATTCCTTGGACTCCCTTTGGGAGTACACTGACTGATGATTTTGCTCCTGATTTTACTTGACAGTTCTGGGGACAAAACTCCAGCCAGGTATTAGCAGCCCAGGGTGTTCAGGAAGAGACCGACCCTGTCAGGTCTTCATTATAGCATGCAGTGATAGAGAAGCAAGCACTTAACTCATGGCAGCTTTGGGAGCTGCAGAGCCTTGCTAAGAGCCAGCCATTTTCAGTGCTCCCAGGGCTTACATGGCAGAGATTAGTACCTGCTGTATGTTACTACGCTGACATTTTTCTTTTTTAAATATTTTAATAATTTATTATTTTTATTTTATGTGTATGTGTGTATTGCCTGCATGTAGGTAAATGCACCCGTGTTGTGCAATGCCCATGGAGGACAGAAGAAGCTGTCAGATCCCTTGGAACTGGAGTTATGGACAGTTGTTATCTTCCATATAGGTGCTGGGATTTGAACCTGGGTCTTCTGCAAGAACAGCCAGTGTTCTTAAATGCCGAGCCATCTCTCCAGCCCCAACATTGGCACTTTTCTATTAACAAGACGCCTCTACCTCATCTCATTAATAAGGTGCTCCATCATCTTTAAGCTGAAAGAAGCAAGGGCTGGTATTCATTTGGACAGTGACACTAACTTCTCCATGAACCCCACAGAAAACAATCTTTATCTCAGTTTTAGGCTAATATAAAATAGAAATAAGGGCCTAGCTCGACAAAACACAGGGCACTGATTCAGTTTAGCATTACCCTAATTTGTAAGACACACACACACACACACACACACACACACACTATACAAGAGTAATAGCTAAACACTAAAGTGTTGAGTACTGTCATGTAAGGCTGGCAGGCTTTCTAAGATATCCCCAGTCAGCAGGCTAGTGATAAAGTTCAGCACAAACTTTGCCTAGGACAGGCAGATCAACACAGTGAGACAGGGAAGGAAGAAGGTGTCTCAGTCAAAGAGGTTTAGAAAGTGGGGAATTTGGATAGTTCTTCACAAACATATCAACTCTGGGGCTGGAGAGATGGCTCAGTGGTTAAGAGCACTGACTGCTCTTGCAGAGGACCCGGGTTCGATTCCCAATATCCACATAGCAGCTACGAACCGTCCTTAACTCCAGTTCCAGGGGAATCCGAAGCCCTCTTCTGATCTCCATAGCATTCTAAGACACGGGTGCACTCGCATATATGTAGGCAATATACTCATACACATAAAACAAAAATAATAAAATAAAAAACAATATCAACTCCTCAAAATCAATTGTATTTCATTTCTGATCACCAATGCACACTCAATGCAGAAAGTAATTAGACTTTAAAGGGCTGGGCATGGTGGTATGTCTGTTAATTCCAGCACTCAGAAGTCTGAAATAGTGTGACCCTGTCTCAGAAAAAAAAATGGATTTTTTTCCCTATCCAATTCATATTACAGGTAGACTATTATAACATTTATACAAAATAATGAGGTTTCTTACAACTGGCTTGCCAAAATAGGCCCATGGGTGCAACAGTGATGGGAATGTTATAGGAGTAACCAACTACCTTCTAACTGGATTTAAGGCCTGCTTCATAAGATGGAGTCCATACCTGATACTATTATCAGGGCCAAGAACCTGTGGCTATGTCTAGGCCACAGAGGAGACCCTACTACTATCATTCTGCTAAACAGATATAGTATTAAACTGACTCCTAATGACTTACTGTTATACCCATAGACTAGTGAATCTCTCAACTCTCACCAGAGAAAGTTCTTCTTGTAGCAGATGGCAATAAACACAGAGATCCACAACTGGTCAACATGCAGAGAATAGGAGATTCCAGAGTGCTTATTCCTGAACAGCAGGAATAAGCTCTATCAAACTTCTGGTTCCCAAGGCTCAGGGATCATTGGAAAAGAGAGGGTAGAAAGATTCTAAGAGCCAGAAGTGGTGGATGACTGCTAGGAAACCAGGTTGTCTGGATACCACAGGGTAGTTGCACATATGAACTCACAGCACTTATGACAATACACACAAGACCTGTGCAACCCAAGTCAGACAAAGGCTCAGTATGGATGGGGGAAGTCAGTAGGAAGACTCAGCCCTAGCTGAGGATCTATTGACAATTGATAGATGTTGGGAGAGGGAGAGTCAGTTTTTCTTACTAGTATGATGCCTGGTAGGTTGACAAGACTGAAAGGAATAGACCCATGCCCAAAGCAGAGGGGGCTGGAGATGTCTGAGTGGTTAAGAGTACTGGCTGCTCTTGAAGAGGACCTGGGTTCGGTTCCCAGCACCCAGATAGTGGCTAACAACCATCTGTAACTCCAGTTCCAGGGGATCTGACATCTCCTCTCCCCTCCCCCTTTCCCCTCTACTTTCATGTCTCCCTCTTGAGTCCACATACTAGAGAAAATATGTGTTTTAACTGTCTTTCTGAATGTGGCTTATTTCACTTAGCACGATGATCCATCCATCTTCCTGCAAATGACATGATTTTGTTCTTTAAGACTGAACAATACTCCACAGTTTTTTTATTAGTTTCTTTTATTTATTCTTTGATAATTTCATCCATGTAAACAATGTATCTTGATCATATCCCACTGTTTACATATACCTTATTTTCTTCATTCATCATTGGACAGGCACCAAGGCTGACTCCACAGTGCTACATGCAGCTTCCTCTAATGTATGCTAACTAAGATTCCTTTGGGTATATGCCCAGATTTTAGATTTCTGAGGAATCCTATACTGATTTCCGTAGTGGCTGGACTAGTTTATATTTTCATGAACAGTGTATAAGGGTTCCTTTCTCCCTTGCATGCTCACCGGCATTTGTTGTTTTTCTTGATAGATATTCTGCCCAGAGTTTGACAGAATCTTAATGCTAAAGATGTTAAGCTTGTTTTAAAAATATTTTATTTATTATTTTTATTTTATGTGCATGTATGTATTGCTTGCATGTAGGTAAGTGCACCTGTGCTGTGAAATGCCTGCGGAGGACAGAAGAGGCTGTTGGATCCCTTGGAACTGGAGTTACAGGGAGTTGTTAGCTGTCATGTGGGTCCTGGGATTTGAACCCAGGTCTTCTGCAAGAACAGCCAGTGTTCTTAACTGCTGAGCCATCTCTCCAGCCCCTAGATGTTAAACTTTAAAAAATTATTATTGGTCATTTTTAGTTTCAAAGAGTGTCTGTTCAGTTAATTTATCTGCTTATTGATTATGTTCCTTGTTTTTTTGGGGTAATCAATTAAAAAATTCTTGACATATTGGATATTGACCCCTTTTGGATGAATAGTTGAGAAAGATTTTCTCCCATTCTGTAGGCTGTTTCTTTACTGTTAACTGTTTCCTTTGCTGTGTACAGCTTATAATTTCGATGCAGTCTCACTAACTATGGAGACACCATACCATCGAGTCATGATCCTACTTCTACAGGTCCCAGCCCCAAGTAATGCAACCCTATCTGTTTTCTTTCCTTAAAGCCTAGTCTGCCCTTTAGAAACAAATTAATTAAAAAAAAATCACTGTGGAAATTTTCACTATGTTTGTACAACTTATTTTTACCCTCTGTGTGTGTGTGTGTGTGTGTGTGTGTGTGTGTGTGTGTGCGTAGCTGTTATCACAAAATGCCATAAGATATAAGTCTGAAAAAGCTGACATCCTAGGAAATTATCACTTTGGATTAGAAAACTGGAGTAAAAAGTGTGATCATCAAGAAAGGGTACAGTGATAAAAAGTCATAATGGAAAGGTTATATTTTTCCTGTGGATGGAATAGGAGATATGAGCTCACCACCATAACTGGAGGTGTTGATTTCTTCAAAAAGATATGTTGGTTTTTTTTTGGTCTTTTTGAGTCAGGGTCTCCTTATGGCCCCAGCTGTCCTGGAACTCACTATGTAGACCAGGCTAGCCTTGAACTCACAGAGATCCACCTGCCTCTGCCTCCCAAGTGCTGGGATTAAAGGTGTGCACCACCATGCCCGGCAAAGATAACTATTTTTAAAAGGGAATTTCAAATGGATTCAAGTGCATCTGATATCAAAGTGCTAACTGATTAAATAAATAACACTCTTTTGCATACTGAAAAAAGTTCAACTTAAAA